CAACCATAATGTTACATTAATGTCGGTTTTGCATTTCATTTCCCAGTTTAGAAGAATAGCATCAGTGTCTTCACTATTTGTACAGAAAAAATGTAGGCTGAGGACACAGGCAAAGGGACAAAATTCCAGCAACTGGACTCTCTTGCTAAAAAGCAGGGTCCAGCCCCTCCCACGTGGAGAAGCTGTAACCAGGACAAGCTCATGGGAAGGGAAGGAAAGAGGGAAAAATGGGTTCTTTCTCTAGGGTACTTCCTTTTTGACCACTTAGAGACTGTAAGAACCAAAAACGGTAAGAAGGTAATTATGGAGCAAAGAACAATACTTGGGTGGGGGGAACCCTGTCTTTTATCCTTGAATAAAAGAGAAAGGGAATCAATATAGTTTGATTTATAGCGATCTCAACCAATTTCCTGCAAGGTTTTCCAAAACGTCTCTTTCACAGAAGACTAGAAATGATGTGCCACCTCTAGGTCATACTGAAACCCACCAAATGCCTCTCCTCTGTATCAGTCCTTGTCATCATCAACTCTGTCCCCCCAAATAATCTAGCATCTACACAATTTTCTAGAAAAGAGAAACTCTATAGTCATACTTCTAACTCAAAATGCAGATGGAGTCTCTTCAAGGTTTCTGCAAAAAGAGGAGGGAGGTGAAAAAAGCCCCTGTGGACAAAAACCAAACACTATAAAACCTCAACCCCCAAAGTCATTTTTCTCCAAAGTTATGGGCACTTGAATACAGATAAGAAGTTAAACAATAGGCAAGGCTGCTGCCAGGTGGTGGGAAAGACTACCCAGAAGACCAAGGAACAGTCAGGGAGGACTCGAAGGGATGTAGACAGCAGCCAGGACATGGAAGCCAAGTGCACCCCCCCCCCCTTCTCAGTCATCCAGACAGCTGAGGTTACTTCATCTTCCCCAGGAGCTGTGGCCTACACCTCATTTTCCTCACTTACATTTGCTTTGGTCTCCTCTGAACACTGAGGTGGTGAGAGAACTTGCCCTGAGGTTAAAGACGCACAATTAAAGATCCAACCAAAGCTTTCAGGCTGCTCTCTGGGCTCCAAGGTCACAACAACCATCACATCACGCACATCCACACCAAAATGAGCAACATGAACTCCTGCTAGTGAGGACAAAAGAGCCACTGTTCCCTTAAACCAGATAAAAATCCACTTTTGTATCAGAAAATAATTCCTAAGACAAGAAAGGAACCACATTCCTGAAATTTAGAGCCTCTAAACTATTTTAAACCATCTGAATTTACATTTGCATGAAAAATGTTTTCCAATGAAAAGTCTCATCTTAAGTGAACACCTACCACATTAATCTGAATAGAAACATATAAACCAAATAAAATGAGCACAAAAATCAGAACACGAAAGTCTATTAGTGGCAAACCAACCACTCCAGTTTCACCTAGCTGAACAAAGTACAAAAATAAACAGCAAAAATAATGACAAATGGAAAATACCAGGTGTTTTACAGTATTTATAACCAATACTATTACTCACCCCACTACAACAGAGCTTACACCTGTTAGTTTTTCATGATGGCATTCCTTTAGGATAGTCTCAATACACTGACTCTGAGACTTGAAAATAAAAGACAGATGAGAGAAAGAGCCCCACACCAAGCCTCCAAGCAGGCCCTTCCAGGACCAAAACCTGTTTTTGCCTCCTACATACCCCAAAGGTATGACCCAGTCTAGAAGATCAGAGGTGAACTACAGAGATCTTGGGTATGGAAAGGTAAGAGCCAGTCAGGAAAGGAGCTGTGAGGTACTTTGCATTCACATTCCAGCCCCAGAAGACACTCAGCTTTCACCCACAAAAAGTATGTCATGTGGACAGCTACCACGCTACTCTGAAGAAGAAACACCACTTTCTAGTTCGTTTATTGTCTGTTCTGGAAGTTCCATCTTATTGTAAATCTCAATCTTTCCTGCTTCCATTCAAATTCATGTCTTTTTTGTCCCCATTAAAATAAAGATGACATCACATTTAGTAAGGCTAAGAAGTCAATTACCAAAACTATGTTCCATTTCTTTCTTTTAAGTCTTACTTTTTGCCTGTAATGATTTTTGTTCCTCTTACCATGAGTTTTTCGACTTTCCTCACTTCCCTTGCTGACCAGAAGCCCTAAAGAACAGATGCTCTAATGAGAACCTGACCTATGGGGCACTCACTGGAAGGTGCTGTCCTGTCTGGGACTGAAAACCTCTCTAATCTATCGTCCAAGCTTCCCCTGATAGAATTATCAGGATCTTGCTACCTAGAAATCTTTAAGATTTTCCTTCCCCACAAAAGAGGGGGACCTTTAAATTGTAACTACTAGCATATCTCATAGCATCCCCAAAAGCAGAGTTACCCATCGTTTTCCTGAGGGTGGTCCAAGGGGTAGTTCAATAAATATAGATGTGTGGCCCTAAACACACCTTCCCACCTGTTGATCACAGCCTTGTAGAGGCTTAATGAAGTCAAGATGCCTTACATTTATCACTTGCCCTAGATCTATTCAAATTCATCACTATGTCACAGCAAGAAGTTAGATTGATCTGACAGGATTTGCTCTTCTTCACAAACCCCATGTAAGTTATTACTCAGTATCCCATGCTCGTCTAGCTGTCTGCTGATTGATTATCTGACGATCTGGTCAAGTATCTTCTTTGGAATCACAGTAAACTAATGGGTCCATAATTTCCAAGATCATTCGTATTTCCCTTTTAAAGATAAGCAAGACAGAAAACAGTTCTTTCTGAGTTCTCTAAAGCAACAGCTAATGCTTTGCTAATAATGCACTGGGGTGGCCAATTTCTTAAGTGCCCTTGGAATCACAACATCAGGGTTCATTGATTCTGGAGATAATCTTTAATCAGGCTCAGATCCTAGTAAACTGAGCTCTAACTCAGTCTGGGTCTTGAAAACCCCTGGTACCTAAGTCTGGGAAGTAAGTTGGTCACAAGTGATTCAAATCCATACTGCATAATGTCTTCAGCATGACAATAAATAAATAACATGCCCTTGACAGAGAGATGAAAAAGACAATGACCAACCAAATTGAGACAAGAATCAGGTTCCACCTTCAGGAACACTGGCAGGACTTTCTGCAGAAGAAAATAGGTAGCTACTTAATTACCTGTGCTTATAATCTAAGTGGAAAGATAAGAAACACATATACATAAGCATGTCCCAGGAAGCAGCAAATGCCATAATGGAGGTGCCAAGCAATTATGAAGGCTCAGAAGGAAGATGAATCACATGCAATAAAGATGTGTTGGATTTTATACTCGCGACCCACTAGGGCTTACTCAGTGACTGAAACTTAATCTGTAAGGGAAATAACATGGAACGTTAGAATATGAATCCTGGATTCTCAACTTGGAAGACTACATAAAAAAATTTCCAGCCAACCACCCAACTCCTCAGCACAGGCAGGAGCAAGAGGCAGAAAGTTAACTGGCTTAATTCTAAGCTGTATTCCCTTGACAGGAAAGAAGAGAGAAGAAAGGTTAAAGGGGTGTAGTATCTGCGTTAGGTAAAGTAATCTGCCGTTCTATAGACTCCCCTTTCCAGAGTTAGCTTTTTTTCCAGAAAAAGCTAACCATGAGAAACAGTTATCTTTACACGGTCTCCAGTGTTCCCTGCTTCCCAACTCCCAATGTTAAGGTCTTCTGCCTATCTGGCTTACTAATGGAAGCTACTCCTACCAAAGCAACAGGTCTGTGCATCTTAAAATTATACTCTATAACTTAGCACCACAGGGAAGAGTAGCAGACCTATAGCCAGTCATACCCAAGGTCCTCACACTAGAATGAACTACCACATTGGCCCATAACTATTCCCTCACACACCAAGTCCTTCAATATCACCCAGCATAGGTGCCTCTCTGCTGCAAATCCAAGCTTCCTAGTCACATTATGTTAAAAAAGGTAAAAGGGCTTTGTAAGCAGTTTGTGACTAAGGAAGAAAAGCAAAGAAATTTTCCTTCCTAATAGACTAACAGTGGTACCTGTTCAGGTTATCCAATGCAACATAAGAAATTATGACAAACTGGGTATGTTAGCACGCACCTGTAATCCCAGGATTTGGGATTATATCCCAGGACAAAAGGATGGCAAGTTCGAGGCTAGCCTGGACTACATAGTGAGTTCAAGAATACCCTGAGCAATACAGTGAGATACTGTCTTAAGAAAAAATAAAAATAAAGCCATCACAAAATTTGTGGCTTCAAGTATCAACAATCATCAACTCTCACAGTTCCAGTGAGCCAAGAATGAAGGAAGTGTTTGGCTGCCTGAGGGTCTCTCTGGGGCTGAAGTCAGATGTCCACTAGGGTTACAGACATCTGAAAGCCTAGCTGGTACTGGTAAACTCACTAGCAAGATGGCTCACTCACAGAACTGACAAGTTGGTGTTGGCTTTTGGATTACTGCCTTAGTTCCTACCATACACATGTGCCTCTCCATAGGACTGCTTGAGTGTCTTCAGGCAATGATAGCTGGCTTCTGCCAAAGCAAATGATCCAAAAGAGCAAAACAGACCACAGTGTCTGTTCTCACTTAGCCTATGACCTTACACACATTGTCTCTTCTCCTATATTCTACTGATGAGACAGGGTTATTTCTGAGTCAGTGCTAATACCAGGAGGTAAGGTTCACTGAGGGAGTTGGCTACCACAGAACTCCTTCAAAAAACACACAGCAGTGGCAGGAGAAAGGAGCACAGAAGGGAAAGAAAGGAGGAAGAATGGAAAAGAAGGAAACATTTTTATTCCCAAAAGTTCAAACAAGAGAGAAACAATGTGCCCTGTTCACAGAAACTTGTCAGGTCTGCTTTGCCCTAACATACTTGGTCCAAATCCTGCTTCCTAAGGCAGGAACCCCAACAAAAGGCGAAAAGCCAGGAAGACCTGAGAAAACTCTGGGTCCCAGGAAGCAAGACTCTCCTCCCTCCCTCCTTGCCCACCCCACCTTTTCTGAAGCAATGATACAACAGTTACCTGAGGATGAATCTGTGGCTTGTCGCACGTGGCCTCAAAGTCCAGCACTAAAAAGTAGTGATACCTCTGGGGAGGGAAGGGCACCATTGCCGCCATGGACGCGCCAAAGCCGTGGGCCGCCAGCTTTCTGGTGGATATGGAGCAGAACTCCGGAACACCACAAGGAGAAAATAAGTGGGAGCCCAGCACTTTTCTTGCTCTTGAAAGTAAATACGAAGAAAATCGAGCTGCTCCAGTCTGTAAAGGTGCTAGCATTGAACATCCAGAGGCATCTAAAACTTAGGGGAGGAAAGTTAAAAGAAAAAACAAAACAAAAACAAAAACAAAAAAACACAGAGAGCCTGGGTTACTCCCTCCCACTGTGGCCCTGTTCCACCTACTCTTCAGGAATGTCCATGCAACCTGAGCCACTCCCCAGTGTTTCTGGGCTCTTTTTCTAAATCACAGTATTGGTTACTAAAGTTTAAGACCCTAACAGCACCTGCAGCATTATTACAGCTCTGAGTCTCCCAGATCATTCTCAAAACAACATGCAACACTGACCCTCATTTTTAAATGAAGCACTAGTTCAAAAAGAGCAGAAAGAAAAATTCTGCGGCCACTTCTCAGGTGGAAACAGTTAACTCTCAAGTGAAGGGTCCCAAAGTAACTTGAGGTGACCCAGTCACACAATAAGTCCTGGAAACTAAGCAGACTCAGGCAGGGGGGGAATGTCCTAGGCTCTCTCCTTAGCTCCCTTACATGCCATCTGCCCCTGGCTTATTTATCTGTATACCAACATCTCCAGATACCCTGGGGCCTTCTTCCAGCATGAAAATGTGAAAGCCAGCAAAGCCAACCCCAGGGGAGTTTGCTCACCACATTCTGCTGATTCCCAGCCCCCACATTGGTAAGTGGCACCCTGGGGGAATGAACTAGCCTGGAGAGCACAGCTGGTAAGAGCCTCAGGCCTCCTCTGCCTTTGGCCTCTCTCTCCTAGAGGCCCTAACCAACTCTGGGGCTTTTTAAGTAGGAAAGGAAAAGAGAAAACCCAGATGTGGCAGTAATGGGAACATTTCTAAAACTCTAGTAAAGTTTTCTGAGGGAACATGTGCAAGTTTAAAAAAAAAAAAAAAAAAACCCCGGTGTTGCAGTAAATGGAACATTTCTAAAACTCTAGTAAAGTTTTCTGAGGGAACATGTGCAAGTTTAAAAAAAAAAAAAAACCCCGGTGTTGCAGTAAATGGAACATTTCTAAAACTCTAGTAAAGTTTTCTGAGGGAACATGTGCAAGTTTAAAAAAAAAAAAAAACCCCGGTGTTGCAGTAAATGGAACATTTCTAAAACTCTAGTAAAGTTTTCTGAGGGAACATGTGCAAGTTTAAAAAAAAAAAAAAACCCCGGTGTTGCAGTAAATGGAACATTTCTAAAACTCTAGTAAAGTTTTCTGAGGGAACATGTGCAAGTTTAAAAAAAAAAAAAAACCCCGGTGTTGCAGTAAATGGAACATTTCTAAAACTCTAGTAAAGTTTTCTGAGGGAACATGTGCAAGTTTAAAAAAAAAAAAAAAAAAAGAATCACTTTTCCTTTACATTTTGCCTTAAATTCACACAATATCTGTTCTCCTCTGAGGGATAACTAAATATAAAAATCAAAGCCTAAGTTTTACTCACAAATAACCCAATCTTACAAAAGAGAGAGACAGAGCTAGAGAGAGACAGAGAGAGAGAGAAAGGGAGAGGGAAGGAGGGAGGAACAGAGCAGAAATGTGTCCTTCCCCACTTTAGACCCAATACTCAAATTTCCCTCAACTTTAAGTCTCAAACCAGAAATCTTACCATTTAATTCAGAAACCACCACTAGTTTATGCTTTCTGAAGCCCCATTCCAACAGAGCCAATGGCTTGCCTCAGAGTGGCTACAAGAAGGCACCTGGCTCCCCATACAGGCAGGGTAGGTGGACCCTGTGAAGTGTCCACCAAACAGAAAAGGACAACACCAAGTAGTACTTCTCTTCCCAGCTTTCTTCTGACCCAATGAAAGGTGCAATCACCTGCTTGCATTACCTACAAGGATGCATGTTAGTGTGGGTCCTGAATTTCTGTACCTACAACAAAACATCATGGGGCTTGAATGAAGACCAAAAAGAATTTTAAAGTCAGGCGTGGTGGTGCATGCTTTTAATCTCAGCACTCCAGAGGCAGGCAGATCTCTATCAGTTCAAGACCAGCCTGGTCTACATAGCAAATTCCAGGACAGCCAGGGGTACATAGTGAGACTCTGTCTGAAAAAACAATGGGGCTGGAGAGAGAGCTCAGCAGTTAAGAGCACTACTGGTTGCTCTTGCAGAAAACCTGGGTTCAGTTTCTCAGCACTCACATGGCAGTTAACAATCATCCATAACTCCAATTCCAGGGGATCAGAAACCAACTTCTGGCCTCTGCAGGCATTGCACACATGTGACAGACTTACATACATGTAGGCAAAACACTCATACACATAAAAATAAATAAAATCTTTAAAAAAAAAAAAAAAGAATTTGAATTCTTCATGGTTCCTACACAAGCACAGCACTTGTTTTTATCATTATAGCCTCTCCCCAAAATACAGCTAAACCAGGTATAGTGGCATATACCTTTATCCTAGTACTTGGGAGGCAGAGGCAGGCAGATCTATGTGAGATTAAGGCCAGCGTGGTCTATAGAGTGACTTCAGCTGGGGCTACAGGGAGACCCTGTCTCAAAAAAAAAAAAATCTACAACTCCTAGTCCAGGGAGACAAAGGCTACTTTAGAGTTCATTAATGGAATCTCTGGGAAAAGTACAAAGGTCAATGCCTGTGAAGCCAGAATCCAAAATAACCCATCCTGTCATTCACAACTCAACAGTACTAGGAAAACAGAGGCAGGAATCCACTCCATTACCCATTCTAGCTTGGATCCAAAGTCCTCCTGAACCTAGAACTCTTCCAACCAATCAGGTTAGACAGAAAGATTTTTTAAACTCTTAATGTGTCTATAGTATACATAGTATATAAATCAACTAGACTCTGCCTACCAACTATAACAGGAAAGCAAGCATCTTGATTAACAAGGGCTTGTGATCTGTCCTAACTTTAGAATTTATTAGCCATGACACCATGGGAAAGCTTAGCTCTTCAATTCCTCACCTGTAAAATGGCAGTAACAGTAGTACCTACTTCTAAGTGAAAATGAAACGTTGAACAAAGGCAGAACAGCAAGGGTAGCATCTGGCACAGAATGGCTCCATAAAGGTTGGCTTACTTTTATTGCTACTACTATCCAACTAGCTGTCCCCTTGGCCAACCCCGCATCCCCATACTCTGGGCCTATAAATCCAATAAATGCATAAGACATCCTCAGACAGTTATATCAGTATCTGCTACATCCCTATAATGCTCTAGACCTCCAAAGGTACAGATACATACCCTGTCTCCTCCTGTGGACAACACAATGATAACTAGAGGTCCTCCTCCTGGCAAGCCTTGTTTTCTCATGTGATTTCATCCACATCAAGAAGGTTCATTTGAAGGAAGTATTAAGAACATTAAGGAGCTGGGGCTGGAGAGATGGCTCAGTGATTAAAAGCACTGGCTGCTCTTTCTAGAGGACCCGGGTTCAATTCCCAGCACCCACATGGCAGCTAACAACTATCCGTAACTCCAGTTCCAGGGGTATCCAATGCCTTCTTCTGACCTCCTCAGGCATTGTGCGACATGGGTGCACTTACATACATGCAGAGATAACACTCATACACATAAAATAAAAATAATAATTAAAAATAAAAGGCCAGGCTTCACAGGGCATGGTAGTACTGCCTTTAATCCCTGCACTCAGAAGGCAGAGGTAGGCAGATCTTTGTTGAGTTCAAGGCCAAGGAGACCCTGTAAAAAAAAAAAAAAAAAAGACAAAACAAAAAACAAAAAAGATGCCAGGCCTTCACATGTCCTCTACAGTCTAGAGGAAACGGGTTCCACATTTCTATCCTAACAACACAATTCAGCTATAATCAAGGAACACAGAGTAACTCTCCCTCTTTGTGAAAAATTCAACCCTAAAACCATTAAATACAGTAAAGAAAAGACAAATCTCTGTACCAGTTGAAGCTGAGAGATGCAGAGAGGTCTAGAGAAGGGTAAGAGCCCAGGCAGGTGAGGAGGCATCCACGGAGAGGTAGGAAGGTATACTGTATCATGTCAGAGCCAAGAACAGGCATGAAGGGTATCCATGCCAAAAGTAGCATAATGAGAGTCACAAACAGCATAAAAAAGGCACTCATATGCCAGGCTTGGTGGTACATGCTTTTAATCCCAGCAGAGGCAGGCTGAACTCTGAGTCTGAGTACCAGCCTGTACTACACAGGGCGTTCCAGGCCAGCCACAGCTATATAGTGAGGCTCTCTGTATCAAAACAAGTAAATAATAAAATAATAAAGGCACTCATGAGGGAGGGGTAAAGGGCCAGTAACAGCATACTAGTTACATAAAGAAAGGATGAACAAAGAAGTATATGTATTAAAAATAAGGGAAATCAGGTCTGCATGCATGCACATATTTTCCACCTCTGACTAAGGATGGGGGAGGGAGTAGCAACACTCAACAGCAATGAGCATACTCAGGTACCTTCTAAATACCACTGTCTACCAAAAGAACCAAAGCTCCTTGGAAAAATGGCTTGGTTCCAGGGCTACAGCAGGAAAGCTACAAGATGAGCCTGAGATACCCTACTGATCAAGAAAGCAAAGGAATGATCAAAGAATGATAAGATCATATCAAAGGGGCATAAAAGCCACACTGAGAAGACACTCACTGGTCAATTAATAATGAGTGATGGATTAGAATGCAATGAGTAAACCAGGAAACCATAAAGATTCAATAAATACAACCGAAGTTTACTGAGGGATCTATACATAATGTCAGTGTACTTCTCCACAAATTTTTTAGTTACAATAAGAAGTAATTTTATAATGGAGAAGCCTGACAGACATTGCCTTACATAGCTGATCAAAAATAAGCATTATATGGGGCTAGAGAGATGGCTCAGTGGTTAAGAACATTGACTGCTCTTGCAGAGGACCCAGGTTCGAATCCCAGCACCCACATGTGGCTAATGAATGTCCATAATTCCAGTTCCAGGGAATCTTACACCCTCTTCTGACCTCCATGGGCATTGCATGGCATGGGTACCCTTACATACATACAGGAAATACACTCAAACACATAATACATAAATAAATAAAATATTTTTTTAAATGCATTATCACCAGGTGTGGTGAAGCGGG